GAGTTTCGAATTAAACATGAGACGATTGTGTTTTGTGTGGACGATTTTGTTACAGAGTCGAATGCACCAGCAAATTAGAGAAAAGTATAAAGAGAGGTATATAAGCATGAAAGTAAATAGAAACACTAAATTGTTAATTTTCATAAATTTTATTTTGTAGCAAATAACGACACAAATATAACTACTTGCTGTGCTAGAACTTCGTGACGTAGACAGTTAATACACAATTGAAATTGTTTGTTTAAGAAACTTTGTCTTATTTCACCTTCATAATTTGAACAAGTAGATTGCAAAGTCAATGTGGAATGCACTAAAACATTAATTGCCTTTTTTGTTGGGTTTTTTGGCACTATTGCCTTCATAGGTGCTTTGGGAAGGAATAGTGCCTCTGGAGCTAACCGCTCGGGGCACTATACCTTCGCCTCAGGCAACACTATGAGAGCATAGTGCGCCCCAACAACAGGCATTAATTATCACAGTATAGTATTACGGGTATAGGTAAGGTAATACGTATAGTGTAGTGTAAGTGTAGTGTAGTGAAGTGTAGTTGTAGATGTGAGTTGTAGGGTGTAGTGGTAGTGTAGTGTAGTGTAGTATAGTATAGTATAGTAAATAGGTATAGAAGTATGAGTAATATAAGTGATCTAGTATAGTATACCGTGTGATAGGTAATAGTACTAGTAAGTAGGTATAGTAAATAGTAATATATAGTATAGTATAGTATAGTATAAGTAAGTTATTTATAAGATAGTTAGTATAGTTATAGTATAGGTAAGGGATATAATAGCTATAGTATAGTAGTATAGTATATGTATAGTATAGATAGATAAAGGTATAGTATAGTATAGGTATAGTATAGTGAGAGTATAGTAAGTATAGATAGGATGATAATAGTATAGTATACTAGTAGTATAATACTATAAGCTATAGAGTATATCAGTAATTGATAATATACTAAGTATAAGTATAGTATACGTAGAATAGTATAGTATAGGTATAAGTAAATAGTAATAGTATAGTATGAGTATAGTAGTATATTATTAGTATAGTATATGTATAGTATAGTATCAAGTATAGTATAGTATAGTATCAGTATAGTATCCACGCTACCTAATAGTATAGTATATATAGGAATAGTATAAGTATAGGTAAGTATAGTATAAGTTAAGTATAGTATGACGTATAGTAATAGGTATACTATAGTAACTACTACTATACTATAGTATATAGTAATAGTATGACTATACGTAATGCGTATAGTATAGTATGCTATAGGTATAGGTATAGAAAAGTATAGTTAACTAGTATGGTATAGTAAATATATGTATAGTAGGTATAAGTTACTATAAGTATATATAGTCAATAGTATAGTATACGTAGTTAAGTAATATATAATGTATGATGAAAGGGTATAAGTAATGTATCTCCGAGGTATGAGTATTAGTGATAAGCGGGTAATAGTATAGTATAGTATAGTATGTATAAGTTAGTAATAGCTATAGTATAGTATATAGTAATAGGCTATAGTAATCAGTATAGTATAGTAGTATACTAAGTATAGTATAGGGGACGACGGGTATACGCACACCTCTATAAAACAGAATCATTGCAGCGATTTTTTAGAAAATGCTTGTGTAACGTTGAAATGAGCAGTTCGTGCTAGAAATAATTAATAATAATGACATAATAATCGATAATGTAGCAACAAGATGCGCGACGCTGTGTCTAGATACACAGGCACTTGAAGCGTTTCAATAAAATATAATGCTAACTAAATACGAAATCTATTTACGACCAACTTCTTAATGTTTCTATACTCTCTCTATATGTCGGCAATAATAGGTAAAAGAGAGTATAGAAACATTAAGAAGTTGGTAGTAAATAGATTTCGTATTTAGTTAGCATTATATTTTATTGAAACGCTTCGAGTGCCTGTGTCTAGATAGACTATCACTAAAACAACCCCTAGTCTAGCTCCACTGACTACTCTATTTAAACATCTGTACATCACATGTTACACTTGCTTGATTGATAAGAATAGTCAGCAGTTGGGGCTACGTGACCGAGCCGGGGGTCGCAGGATGGCAGATAGACACGAGTTCATCGGGTGAGATAACGTGAAACGACATGTGCGATAATGCTATCCCGATGCTATCATGCATGAACGATGCCTGGATTTTATAGTTCACACGAACTGAACTCATAGGAAACTTGGTGAGTAGAAAAATCCACATATAGTGACACGGTGATATAGAGCCTTAGTATAGAGCCTTTGACATAGTAGAAGAGATTGCAGTAATGCAATAATGCCACAAACAATTCTGTCGCTTTTCTCCCCTCGATCACCAACCTTTATTTTTAATTCATTTTCTTTTTTTTTAATTTCACTCGTGCGACATAAATGCACATTAGTCGTGATTTCTTAATTACGACATCAAATATACATTTTCAATCGAAAAAAAAAGTTTACGTGGTTGTAAGGTGAAAATCCAGTGATTACTATTTACAAGTATAATTGATAATAATCGATCTAATACAGCGATCTATATGATATTCGTTATATACCCTCTGCTTTATTGGTATAACAGTGAAAAACGTCCACATCCAGGGGCGTAGCCAGGGGTGATTTTAGGCATTCCGGAATCCCCCCTGGTTTGTATCAAAATAACACATATCTGATACAGTATGTATATAAAAGCATGAAACAAAAATTTTAACGAAGTTTTATTAGTATAAAGTAGGTTTGGGATCCCCCCTCTTGGAAGGAATCCCCCCTCTTGAAAGGAATCCCCTTCTTGGAAGGAATCCCCCCTCTTGGAAGGAATCCCCCCTCTTGGAAGGAATCCCCTTCTTGGAAGGAATCTTCCTCTTGGAAAGAATCCCCCCTCTTGGAAGGAATCCCCTTCTTGGAAGGAATCTT